CGCACGAGGCTTCTTGGCGAGTTCCACGACGCCCCCGCCACCGGACACTTTGGAGTCAATCGCACGATTGGCCGACTCCGCGAGCGCTTTTGGTGGCCCGGTCTTCTCGACAACGTCACACGCTATTGTGAGTCATGCGAGGTTTGCCGACGTTGCAAACCCCGCAATCATCGTCCGTACGGCGAACTGCGACCATTACCGGTCCCCTTGTGCCGAAGGGAAGCCATTGCCATGGACATTACTGGGCCGTTCCCCAAGCACAAGACATGCGTGGATGAGATTCTCACGGTGGTTGACCGACTCACCAAGTTTGCCATGTTTTTGCCTTGCCGCTATCACGCCAAAGCACCGAAGTTGGCCGAGGTTCTCTACGCCGGTTGGATTCGAACCAAGGGTTACCCCAAGGAGATCGTCTGCGACCGCGCCACTCGGTTCATGTCCGATTTTTGGTTGGCGCTCATCAAACGATGGGGCTCATCCCTCAAGCCGAGTTCGGCTCGCCACCCCCAGACCGATGGCCAAACGGAGAGGGCACATCAGACCGCACAGGTCCTTCTTCGCACTCTCATCCGTCCCGACCAAAAGGATTGGGTCGAGCGGCTGCCGGATATTGAGTTGGCATACAACTTGTCCATCCATCCGGCTATCGGGATGTCGCCCTTTGAGTTCGAGCATGGCTCGCCGGTCAATTCTCCGTTGGACACAATCATCCCACGGGCGACCGAGAGTGACGACCATCTTCTCTTCATTCATCGGATGCAAGAACTTCTTGTCAAGGCACACGGCCAGATGTCAAAAACGCAGCAATGCATGCGCCAACAGGCCAACCGCCAGCGCCTTCCTTGTCCGTTCCGCGTCGGCGACCTCGTATGGGTTTTCACTGCGGAATTCAGCCTCGAACAAGATATCTCTCGCAAGCTCCTTCCGAAATGGATGGGGCCCTGGCCGATCGTGGCACCCGCTGGGAACGCACCCGAAGGACCTTCATTTATCATTCAGGTGCCCGCCCACTTTCCCATCAACCCGGTATTTCACTGTTCCAAGTTGGCTCTCTGCATGCCAGCAGAACTTGACGACTTTCCCGGGCGACGATCGCAAGACCCACCCTCGATGGACGGTTTTCAAGAGGTTGGTGACATCATATCCTAGCGGCGTTACGGCAACAGGCCGACTGAATTCTTGATCCATTTTGCATATTGCACCCATAGAGCTGACAGATGGTTGACTCGTGCGGAACTTCAAGCAATAGCTCCCGACGTCCTTGCACGCTATGAACGCAAGTTGTAAGGCAAGCCGGCATCTTCGGCTCCACGCCACACCCGCGTCCAAGTTCCACCTTCAGATCGTCAGCTTTGCCCTCGGCCCGGCTTGACTTCATAAGGAGGGGGGGGTGTTGCATGCTGCGCCTGCACACGGCCCCCATTTGAGGGGGCCGATGGTTGCTGAGGGGCCCCCAGGCCGCGTACCATACAGCACGCGTCCTGGAGGCCCACGGCGGCCCTTCAGGCCCTAGGTAACACACTAGTTAGAATAGGTTTAGTTTACTTACCTTTCTGTGTGTGTGTGCTGTCTTACCTTGTCTGTCAGGTGCCGTTTCGGACTTGCAGCCCCAAGGCCGGACCTTGGGACTGGGTACACCGGAGGCAGGCCCGAAACGAGGCCAGGCGCATTTTGGCACCAGACCRGTAAGTGCAGGCGTCGTTTCGGTCCTGCAGGACCCAAGGCAACGCCTTKGGCTAGGTGCACCGKTACSAGGCCGTTTTTAGKCCAGGCGCATTTCTGCGCCTTGCTGCATCAGCAGCATGGTCTGGACGTCCGGTAGGGAGCCAGACCAGCTGGGCCGTTTCTGAGGCCAGCAGCAGGTAGGCCCAGCCCGCTCAGCGCTACAAATAGCTGGGCAGCGGCTGGGCAAGGACAGTTCGAGTAGCTCACTTCTGGAGCGACACGCTGCTGGTTGAAGCAGCGTTATTCTGCGCCAAGCTACGAAGTAGGGAGTAGCGGAGTAGGTAGTTCAGAGAGGCGGAGACCTTACCTGCGAGCGACAAACTTACCTGGCGCCATAGCTGGGACTCCGCGCGGTACCTGCACACGACGACGACCACAGTCAGTACGGTGACAGCTACCTGCAGCCTGCAGGTGAGATAGCAAGGAGGACGTCATCATCTTCTTCTTCCTCCTCCATCTCTCTCTCTCCTTTCTCCTTCTTCTTCCTCTTTCTTACCTTCTTCTCCATCTATGAGAGTGAGAGAGATCATTGGTAGGGAATACAGGCAGAGGTTACGTTGGGCACATTGCCCAGGATTCGATGCGACATTCTGAGACAGACATTGATTGGACACTCGGCAAGGGACTATTTTTGGGACTTCGCTATTGCGATCTTGGTCGTGCCTTTTCCCCATGTCTCGTCCGTGGTATCTCCCCATGTATGTGTAAGAAGGAGGGACCTTTCTTCCGTGATTGTGGTCCCTCCTCCCTTCTCACATGTGGGATGTATGATGGATGTCGGGTCAGTCCAGATCAGATCAGATCTTCTCTTTTAAGTCTTCCACTGCGCCACTTTGTGCCATCTTGTATGTGTTCAGAATGTACATTGCTTGTTGATGCTACGCTGACATTGCATTGTCCATTTCAGTCCTTTTCATCACATTGCGGATCCTTGGCTCCCTACGCATTGTCCCATTGGGCATGCGTCAGAGAGAGAGAGAGAGAGAGAGCATGGTGGCGAGGTGAGACAATCAGAGGCCAAGTGGGTGTGGCGCATGGTGAAACGCAACAACGTGTGGCATGCGCCAAAAACGGCAACGAAATGTGGAAACACTGAAAAGAATAAAAAGGAAAGAAAAAAAAAGAAAAAACAAGAAGTGTGTCCGCCTTCATAAACCAGCATCCCGCCTGAAATCCAATCGCTTTGTGGTGCCAGTACCACAAAGTGATTCCCGCAACCGGTACCCTAAAGAAAGAGGTTCGGAAAAAACTGGCGTGCAGCAGGCGCGTCGCTTCGGCAAAAGAGGCCCGGGTGTACTGGTGGTTTAAATTCAACTTCCTTTTCACTAATTGCCAGCATGAGTTTAGGAGTCCAGAGCTCACACCGATCGGGACTCGGGACACCTGGAATCAAGGTGTCTCATGTCCGGACCGGTGTCAGGGCTCCCCTACCTCCTCCCCTCGTCCTTTCTTTCTCCTATTCTTGTCCTGGAATCAAGGTGTCTTAAGTCCACACCCATGTAGAGCATCTGGACTCTTAGTTTTGGACTTCTTGATGCTCCGGACTTCCTTTTTTTCACCTATCAGGCCCTCTTTCTCCCTTTCCTCTCACATCCTCTCTCTACTGTTTCTTGTGTAGTTGGTCTTGGACTTCCCAAAATTTGATAACACACATCAGACCGTGCAATGTTGTTCTAGGCTTTACTTTCACAGTGAATATAACAATTCACATTTTGAAACTACAATAGCGGCCCATCAACCCTCGCTTGGGAGCTTATTGTGTGGGCCTTCACTCTACTACAACCACCATCGTTTTGAGTTGGATTGGTGTGAATCTTCGCCAACTTCATCACATCTGCAATGAACCTCTCAGTTTGTCACCTTGAGCACACACACAATATGAGATCACACGAAATCCGCACTGGAGGCCAGAGAGTTGAAGACCAGGTAAGTGCAGCTTAAAAATTCCAACAATTATCATATGAGCAATGAAGAGGTCCAGTCACAAACGCTCAACACCGCAATGCCAAATAACCAGTATCCAGTATCATCATCCAGGTATGTGACTCTGTCACTGCTCCTCCCTCTTCTCTCTGTTTTGGTCGTCTCTCTGTCTACTACCTCACTGTGTCTTCTCTCCCTATTTGCATGCACTCACACTCTCTTCTACTTGAGAAGCAGCTCTGAGTACACCCACTTCNACTGTGTCTTCTCTCCCTATTTGCATGCACTCACACTCTCTTCTACTTGAGAAGCAGCTCTGAGTACACCCACTTCTATACTCTACTACTACTACTAATGCCAACTACTAACTCTAGCGCAGCTATGGCAGCCTTCTCTCTCTCACACGCAATAGCGCAGACCTCTGGCCTTAGCGCCCAGCCACTCACATTAACGCACAACCGCAACAGCACTTCCACACTTGATGCGAATGAGCAATCTGCCCGAATGGGGAGGCTGGACAGTCCTTATGCTGACTTCGACTGAGCTTCAACTCGTCCCAGCCTCTGCTTCTTGTGGCTTGACTTGGTACTGGTACCACATTCCCACGGCCTGCTTGCTTCAGAATGTCAAGGCCTGGTACTTCTCCCGAATTTTCATTGATTTGCTGCTGCTTGGGCCTGTGAGTCACGACTTTTCACTTGTGGAACCTGACTTTTGACTGTGGGTTGTGACCCTTGCCTCTGGGACACGACTTTTTCCTGGGGAAGTGTCCTTTACCTGTGGAACATCACTTTTCAATATGACTCTTCAATATGAGACGTCGTGACTTTTGCTTATAGAACCCAACTTTTGCCTCTGGGATGTGACTGTTTACCGGGTGCCTGTTGGACTTACTCCTAAGGTACCCGACTGTGACTTTTCTGAAAGCGACTTTTGCATTTTAGTCTCAGGACGTGACCCTTCAGCTGGTCTGCACCAGACTTGACCTTTGGGATATTTGACGGTAACTTCCAGAACCTGGTCAACTGGGCCTCTACCCATTTGGAAACTTAGACGCTGAAATTAGAATTTGAGTCTGAATCGTGGAAGGCCTTTCACATCCCAGATGCACCTTTATTCTCGAAGGGGGCTTGGCCTCTGAAGTTCCAGAAGTGAAGTTCAGGCTTTTTACGGTTTGGGTCCCCATCCGTCTTCTCCTGTATGCGCACCCACCTGCACACACACTGATTCCGTTTTGTTTCCGCTTTGTTGACTTGTTATTGTTTCTCAGAAGAATTCGACTCGGGCTTGAATGCTTGTTTCTGAGACCGGGTTCGTGATGTGGGATTTGGTTTTGGCTTGCAATTTTGAAGGTGCAGAAGGCTTTGGACAAGGACAGCCTATACGAAGTCATCGACCCTAGAATTCGGGAAAAATGTGACTTCAACGCAATTGAAGCAGGCATCAAAATTGCCTTACGGTGTACTGCTCCAGCGTCACAGGATCGCCCAACGATGTTAGAGGTATATGAAGAGCTGAAGGCTATCCGTGGGAGAGATTCCTCCCACGTCAGCAATGACTCCAATCGCTCTCCTGTCAGTAGAGATAACTTGAAGAGCAGTGGGTATTTCTCAAAGACTGCCGAGGATGAGCAGAGGGTGAAAGGTAATGCCAGAAAAGATCCTTATGAATCTGACAATTGGCCAGACACATTCACAAGTTCCGGTGTGACAATTGTGAATCCAGATATCACCCAGATTGCTCCGAGGTGAGAAACATTGGCTAGCATTCCATCGAGTCTGACAAAGCCAGAACTCAATCGAGGGATCACTCTGCTGCTTATCACTCCATCACTTGTTATACCTGCGCACTTTTCATCTTCTTCTTGTTCCTCTCCCCCCCCCCCCCCCCCCCCCCCCCCTCCCCCTCCTCTCTCTCTCTCTCCACTTCTGCATTTTTTTTTACTTTTTTTTCTTCTGTCTAGAAACATCAGTACGCTGTGTATGATGGATGGAGACTGAGCACTCAGAACGTGATGGCATTCAAATGGCATTCAAATGGATTTGCATGCTGTCATATTTCCCAGCACAAGGCCAGCTTAAGGGATGCGTACCCATGTCAGAAGTCTCTTGCACAGAGGAGAGGCCCTCAGCTGGGTGGTTCCAATGTAGCAGATGTGTGGGTTGGTACACCCTCTTTGCCAACAGAATGCAGACTTGTTGCAGCATGACATCCTGTATTTTCGGTGAAGTCCTTTTGAAGAGCTCAAGCCCAAGCACCTGTGCATGTGCATGTGCATTGCAGCAACATCGACACTCTGGGCCTTTGTGCACTCGGTGATTCTGCCTGCAGGTGATCCAGCATTATGGTCAAATACATAGTCCCTTCACATTGGAATTTAATGCGGCCAGAAAAGTGTGAAAAGATTGACTAAGTTCTTCAGACTTTTTATCATTCTGTGGAGGCAGGACCATGATGGCGTTAGGAATCTATCCAAGTGGTAGTGTCACAGTCGAATGTCAATTGGGCAGGCAGGATGTGAAACACACTTGGAGGCTGTGCTACGGACGGCTGGAAATGACTACTGGGTTGGAGCAAGAAAGGCAGATAAGACCGGCCTAAACATGGAATTCCGAATTCGTTGATTGATGGAGTGCCCTTCAGGTTGGGGTTTCGCTCCAGTCACTTGGACGGATGATCGTTCCTCATCCTCTTACCACTGTGTGAATGATATACAGGAAGCGGTGGTTGCTCGTTCCTCATCCTCTTACCACTGTGTGATAGCGGGCACTTTGAAGAACCCATGGGACAATCCCTCCCATACCGCTTAAAATGTGCGAAGTCTCTCTGTGTGCAGTCATCATGGTCATCACCGTGTCCAGTCAAAGCCATTTGAGTGGCAGTTTGTGATGACGAGACAGGTTGATGTTCTTTCCCAATGTGATTTATTCTGTTGGCTCATCCATTTTGTGGCTGTAGGTTCATCATTACTTCATTTCAGCGATCAACACTAATGCTCTCGCTTCACATCATGATTTGCCAACTGTCATAATGCTCTGTATGTGTCTACTTCCTGGAGTTGAATCACTGAAGTCACACCCAACTTCAAAGATTTTGAAGCCACTACATGTAATCGTACTTCACACTGTGAACAAGCGATATTTAATCATGGATTGCACTAGGCATCCTATGCAGGAGGCGTTCCAGCCCCAGTACTCTCTGTCAGTGAAATGGGCCCTACACCAATGTAAGGAGAGGCCGCATTCTCAACGTACCTACAAGAATGCCCGAGGTCCAATTCATTCCCCCCTGTATCGGGGTACTTCGACTGCAGTACTTCCCAAGCACTTGTCGGTTCGGAGAGAATGATGAAGTGAAGGATTCTCCTCTCCCCATCTGCTCTAGGCAAGGAAGAATCGTAACTCATGGAGCAGGGATGGACTGAGATGTTCATATGTATGCCCGTCTGTGTAGAAGCCTGCTACAATGGGTGAATCTGCCTGCTTCGCAAACAGCCAGGAGCTGGAAGGCAGAGACTTCTGGTGACCTTTCTGGTTGAGAAAGGTTATCGTGTTTACTATCTATGGACTAGGAATGGTCTGTGGTAAGGTTATTAATTTATTGCATTTATGGGGTAGAGACGGGCCTTGGGTAAAGATACTGCGTTCATGGACTACGTACGGATGGTGTGGGGCGTAAGCATGATGGATGACAATTGCCTGCCTGTCACCGACAACCAGGCACAATTTTGAGGTTTTCGGACCATGTTCCGCCGGCTTTGCATGCAGACTGGAACTGGCAGATTGAATGCTTCTGGGATTTTAGATACTAGGACTGACATTGCGCTACTGCAGCGACAGACATTTTCTGATTTGGCGTTATTGCTGATGTCGGAGGCCCTGGCGTCCTGGGTGTGTGGATTCCATTCACTTTACCAATTGGCTGCAGTTCACAATTGAAAGTAGCAATCTAGTTCCATCATCCATGAGCTAGTGACTGTTAGTGAACAGTTGATGTTTCTGTTCAATTCGAGGAACTAAAATCAATGACCTCACCTACCTGTGTTTTCCAATGCCAACATTGGTACTATGTGGGGTTGGATCGACAAACACCAAGGTCAGGGTGGTTGGAGCCCGCCATTGGTTGTTGGGCAGCAGCCTTGCAGCTCCAGAAATTAGCAATAAGTTCGCTTGTATATTGGCAAGTCAGGTGTTATCTTCAACTGGTCAAAATATCTCTACCCAGTTTAGTTAGATGCTTTACTACTTTAGATCAACCGCACAGCCTTTGTCTTTGTGTTGCCCACCTGTTTTGTTTTCTTTGCTTGCTATGTATTGTCTTTCCTTTGCTTGCCTACCTGCTTGCTTTGCTCATTCATGTGCTCGCTTGGTTGCTCGTTGAACCGCTGGCTTGCCTGCTCGCTTGCTTGCTGAGTTGCTTTCTTTAGATGTACCTTTTCATAATTATGTAAAGATCACATGAAGCTATGAACACAAGATTCCGAGTTTTCTCTTTTTTTTAGTAAGGATTTTTTTTTTTTTTTTTTTTTTTAGCTAGGCTACCAGAGTGGCCCGGGGTCACTTGCCCGGCCGGGCCAAACTAATTAAAAAAATAAATAAAAAAAATTGAATTTTATTTTTTATTTTAAATTTGGTGAAAAATTTCGATGTGACCCTGAGGCAAAAGTTGTTCAGTTTATTTTTCTGGGACCTTACCTGAGGCAAAAGTTGTGCAGAATTTTTGGATTTTTTTTTTTTTTTTTTTTTTTGCTGGGACCTTACCTGATCCTTGCATGGGCTGGCCACCCGGGACCCGGGCGGCCCGGCTGGTAGCCTAGGTTTTTAGCCTGGGTAGTGCTAGGGGTGCTGATAAGAGCAGACACCGCTAGCATTCCCCGGGCGGCTCCATCTATTGGTGGGGAGCAGCACCTGCTGGAAACCGGGTCCAGTGTCCCTTACATGATTATCTTTTATAGAAGAACATATTGAGATGAAACCCCGTTGCTGGAAACCGGGTCCAGCGTCTCATCCTGTTCTGTCCCTTGGCACTAAAACCGTGGCCCGGGTCCGGGGCCCAGTCCGGGCCACACTGGGGGGCACCAGTGGTCCCTTTCTGTTCCCCAGCCAATCCACCCCCACTGCTGCACAACTTTTCCTAACCCGGCAGATGCCACAACCAACATTCATTTGACAACAATAGTCCATCCTCTCTTGCCCCTCCAGCATCCCATTATACACTCAACTGCCAGCATTGATTGCCCTGTACCCAGGGGATTGACTGCGCAGGTTTGGTGGTAAGTCTGTTGGCAAAATAAGAGCTGTCTCTTCAGTCTGCGCCTGACCGCCAGATCACTCTTTCTACCCTAACAGCTACTTCCTGTTTCTCTGAATACCAGTCTGCTCTATAGCTGTCCTGCATTGCCCATTCAATCTGCTCCATACCATTGCATGTCCACCATTGCCAGCTGGTGAGGCGGGAACGGGTCGGGAAAATCTGTTGCAGGTCGCAGCGAGATTTCCTGGCCCATTGTAGTCCAATCCTTGAAGCAGATCCGGTAGTCTCTCCTGAATTCCTCCTGGTTTCACACCTGGGCGGGCTTTCCATCCCATCTAACACCTGCGATCCAGCCCCCCTTCTCAATGCCCAACCAGTCCCCAGAGAATTGATGAATTGCTCGTGTTATATCCTGTGCTGAGTGAAACAAGTCAAGTCGGTCTTTAACTTTCTGCCACTTTACAGTCAGGATTAGATATTAAACTGATCAGAACAGATACTACACTCGATCTTAACCAAAAGGCCAAGAAAGGTATAAGATTTGGAGTTTGCCTCCTTACTTGTTTATTGTTTCCGTGCTTCTGTCATTCCTTTCTCGATTGTTTGCTTGCGTAACTTCTTGTTTCCCTTACGTCGATCGCATCATCATTCTAAGTCGTTGAATGGTCAATCTTAAGCTCTTAAACCATGCCTACGGTTCAACGGATCTCTTAGGAAGTAGTAGCAGTGCAATGAGCCCGCCAGTGACGAGAAGCTCCCACAGTAAGTTACCTTTGCAACTGATTCTTCTAATTGAGCTTTTACACTCTCTGCTTTTCGCTTTCTTCTAATCAAAGTCCTGCTTTAAATGCAGGTGCAAATCTTTGGTTGCCTGGATGGTAAATTAATCAATTATTTTTCATCAATTAATTGATGAAAATTTTGCATTATTTGATATTATCTATAAACCCCCTTAATATCTTGTAGATGGTCCCACACAAATTTTTGAATTTGGGGCTGAACATTCGTTTTGTCTTTCTCCCGAGCACCTTTAATCGAGTTGTCATCGATGTAGGGCTTGCACTTTGCTGGAAACATATCTCCAGTAACTGCAAGCATCCTCCTTTCGGCCACTATGTTTGTGAAACCTATTGGGGTTGCTTGCATTTGCAATTGGCCTACGAGAATGTGCATGACCATATAGGGTTTGTCTCGCACGTCCAGCGAGAGCTGATCGTACCCTGAGTAAAGATCTACCAGAGAATAAATGTCCCGACCTGCATGAGATTCCGCCAGCAGGTCCGCCTTGGGTAGTGACCCCGCGTCCCGGATAGTCACAACATTCAGTTTTTGTAAATCTTGAATTCATCTAAGCATCTTGTTTGGCTTCCGAAGACGAATCACCATTTATCGTACGAAGACGTTGTAGCTTTTGCAACAAAGGAGTCAATTTTTGCTATGATCTGTTACTTCGCCTATCATTCCGAAATCGTAAACTGGTCCTTTGTGATCCCAACATTCGTGCTCTACCGTGTGAATCCTGACGGGGGGTATCAACTCCGCATCTAGTCGGTTCTTCTAGTGATCATTAAAGACGGACGCTAAGTAAAATTTTTGACAGGTTTCCTTGATCAAACACGTTTCTTGCTCCATTAGGAACTCGTCAACTTCTATCTTTTTTGTATCTTCTACCTCGTCCGGTATACGATGTCCTTCAGTCACCCGCTTTTCTATTATCACCCGAAGGACCTCTTCCTCTTTATTTGTGTCCAGCAAGATCTTCCTTCCTTCCTTAGTTGTGTCCAGCAAGATCAAAATTTGCTTAGCCTTCTTTCCTACTGGCTTATACTTGCGAACACTTCCTTCCGGGATCTTTCTTCTAAAAAATGAACCGTGGGAGCTGTCATTGGTGTCTCGACAACTTGTGGCTGGATGTTGATCAGTTTCTCATTCAGGCAACAACCATTCCGGACCTCTCCTTCAAACTTTGCAGTGCAGATGGGTCCACCCTTACCTTGTGATATTTGATGACCTTAATAAGTTGCAACAAATTGGGGATCTCGAGAGCCACTTCCAACTCCTCAACCCGCACTTCCTTAGGTCGGGGTAAACTGGTTACTAACGCGATTTTCGGTCCTTTCTCCACTACCATAATGCTTAGACCGTCATACTCTTGCCTCCTTTTCGTCTAGGTAACCCCATCTTGACCAGGGTTGTCGAACCCCGGCCCCGGGACCCCGCCGGGGTTCCGGGGTTCCGGGGGTCGGCACCCGGGACCCCGGCCCCCTGTAGGGGGAAAAAAAA